CCGATGCGATATATACAATCTCAAGAGCTAGATGCAAAGGTAGACCTTAGTTATACAAGTAACCTAGTCAAGGTTCGCCTAACTCCGTATCGACAAGAAGGCTCACATCACATTGCGATAAGAATAGCAATCTATCTCGCTCTCCTAGACGAGTATCCAAGAATCGCCGATCTCTCGATAGAAGAGTTTGACGTATGGTCAACCTCGAAATTCTACACTACGATATCGGTCAAAAGAGGCATCGATGAATATTATTCGCTAAATCGAGTCATGCACTCGAATAACATATGCCACCATATCCCGCTCCGGGGCTATAGTAAGGCTATTTAGCTCAGCTTAGTATGCAGCTAGGGTGACTCGATGTCGGCGTGTCCTAGCGGCGCCGGAAACACGTAATAGGTACGACATCTACAATAACAATATTTAACATTAACCATATTTCTAGGAAATGGCTATATATGACATAAAACATACATTAAACACTCATATTTATTACGGATCATTTATTAAAGACCAAGAAGTAGATTTTACTTATTGAGTAGCGCATCGATCCTCGGGCTCATGTGACACTTAGGTTTCTACCCAATTAACTAAATCTCCGATACCACCTCCGTGACCTTCCAGCCTCCCTTACCAATTACCTAAAAGGCGTGGTTAGGTGCATTACGGTTTAGAGACAAAATTCTCAAATTTACTCCCATTTTTACATAGCCAATTAATAATAACATATGAAATATAAAGTACGTATAATAAAATTTACACAACTTTAATTAATACTATTATAGAAGTTTACAAAATATCTAAGGTGTTATTTACACATTGCTAGACACCGTACCCTATATTACAATCAAAAGAAATTTTTTTAATGTTTTTTTTGTCACATATGAGCCCTTTTTTGGGAGGAACCAACGAGCTTTTTTATCAGCACTATAATAGCTTTTACCTATCATGGCATGAAATAATAACAATGTGAGCCAAAGCTTAGTAAGTAGGGTGATGCACGTGAGATGCAATGCAATCCTATCATTTAGCCTTTCTCATTGATTTTAATTCGAGTACCCTTGGTATTAGCAAGTCTACTCTATTCTCATTCCTCGGTGATTATCGAATAACCTATCGCTAGCAATAAAATTATCCCTCGTTGTAGCACACGGTTAGTGAAATTATCCATCACCTAACGGTGTAATCAATTGATAAAACGTGCACACAACTTCATTGCTAATACCCATTTAATCCAATTAGGTTACCAAATCTATTCAATTTCCAAACCAAGTCGGTTATCAAACCTCATCATTTCTTAACTCAATTGTTTTCTCAAGTCAAACTACCCTCAAATGCATATGATGCACGTGATGTTTCGTTTATCACATTTAATCAAATCATGGGTACCAAACCCTTCATTTCCATACCATATTCGAAGTCATCGTGGTCATATAAGGAATACAAGACCTACCTATTAGGGTCAATCAATTTCTGTATTTGAGTCCTAGGAATGTGTTGGAGCGCACTTGAAGTGGGATTACCCTCCTAACCCGAAATTGAGCCTTAATAGCCAAATTTTGCTTCTACTAGATCTACGTCTTAATTTCAATTTTTCTTGAAATGTTGCCTTTTAACACTTTATTTTATACTTATTTAGGTGTAATTGGCTCATTTATTATGGAGTTGGATAATTGGAACTCAATTTGTAAAAAGTAGGGTTTAGGCTGAGTGTTTCCTAGTCTAAACCGAAATATTTTTTTCTAACCTTTCTACACTTCAATTTATACTCATTTAGATGCATTTGAACCATTGATACACAAATTGGATGAGTGAAACTCAAAGCCTAAATTTTTGGGTTTAGGTTGAATGAGGTCTCAAAAAGGCAAAGGATTATCTTTTGTTTCTATGTCATTTCTTTTCATCCTAACTTATTAAGTTATACTTAAGTGGGTTACCATAGAGGTCTAGATCTTTAGTTCCAGAAAAATAATCCACACTTTGGCCTTTTTTGTCCCTTGACCGAATGCTTTCCTAAGGAGGTCCAAGCCCATTTTGTTTTAAACAAACTCATCCACACATATGTAAGCATACCTTACATAGATATATCACATGGATCCATACACATACCAATCATTCATCATCACACATGTACAAGCCAACCATTAAGTTCACCACTAAATTCACATCAAGTCATCTCACAAAAAATACTCACATAAACTACATATACCAACAAATAGAAATCTTTAACCAACTACCTTATTTAAGCACATATACAACAAATTTAGAGCATAATATGAAACAACATAAACCTACTTACTTTGATTTAAGCTTTCCTAAAGATTGACTAGGCTTTCCCTTTTTCTTTTCTTCTTTCTTTCATTTTCTATCTTTTCCATATCTCTTCCCTCTCAAAGTCGTTTCTTTTCTCTCTTTTGGGTAAACTACGGTTTCTAAAAGAAAAATGGCTAAGTTTATACCTCTCTCACACTTTTATACCACTTTTCCTCTTATTAAATGAGGATTACATGTGTCAAAAGTTAATGGTATAAAATGTCAAATGATGGAGACAAAGTGGAAGCTAGGTGGCGTGTTTGACTTCCAAAATGGTGAGGTGGCACTAATTAGAATATGGTGGAAGATTAGGTGTCCACTTAGTAACTAACAAAAGGTAACTAAAGGCTAACAAAGTTTTAAGGCAATTTGGTTCTCATAATTCGATCCTTGCACCATAATTTAAGAGATGCTTTCACTTGCATGGTATTTGTAAAGACATGGTACGGTAAAAAGGAATATTGGCTAGATAAATATCCAAAACTTTATCCCAATGAACACTCTCGTGCATCTTAAGTATTTTAATACCACAAAAGAGAAAAGAAAATGTCACATACATTAAAGGACACCCACATCTTATATATTTCTAGCTATTTTCATATATATAGTTTTCACGGGAGGTAAAATTTTGGTATGCCTTTATATATATATATATATATATAGACGTTTCCCAACATTTCGGTTCTCTCCACCCTTAAAGATATTTAGGAAATAAATGATAACCCGCTAGGTTGTCCGAAGGTCATGCCATAAATCCGCACATAAACACTAAACATGTGAACATCAAAAAATCGAGAGAAGGGCACGTAAATCATACCGATATGTAGTACATATAGATATAAGAGGTTGGTACGTATAGCTATGGGGTTAAAGATTTTCACGAGGGTTAAAAGAACCCTAACCCTAATTTTCAAAATTAATTCAATTAAACATAAAATTAGGGTTCAAAAATCACAATTAACATACAATAATGCTTCCTTGTGATGTAGGTGAGATTAACTTACCTAAATTGATCCAATTAAATCTTGAAAAGTTGGATTGCTTGAGAAATTCTTCTTCCCTCTTTTTATCTAAACTTTCGGCCCAATCTTCAAGTTTTCCTCATGATTTTTGATCTTCTAGCTTGAATTCTATACTTAATTAGATGATTTAAGGTGTTTGGAAGTGTTTAGGTGAGATTTCAAGTGGAATTTTATGGAAAATTTGCAAGAGTTTGCCTTGGATTTTCCAATTTTCTAACCTTTTTTCCATTTTTCCTACCTCCCATATTTATAGGTGAAATTAGTTAGACTTTTTCCCTTGGTTGACTCCATCTCCATACTTAATTTGGTTCAATCTTGGCCCTTGATTCTCCTTTTGATCTCATCCATTCATTTGGTTTTATTCTTAACCATCCATCTTTTCTTTAATGTTCATCCTTCCCTCTAATCACCTTCTTTAATCCTTAACCCTCTATTTGTGCATGCATTAATTACACCCAAATAATTGGGGTGAGAGTGGCAACGAAAAGAGGAGAAAATCTCTCCCAAAATTTACTTAATTTTAGTCCCGTAATTTGTTAATCTTTCCTTCAATTATATAATTGATCACTTTAAGTCCTTCCTTTAAAGGTTTTCTAACAACTTTTTAATTTCTAAAGTTCATTCCTAATTTAATTTGATAGTTCAAACATTTAATTTTATGTAATCGAGTCCCTATTTTTATGCAATTAGGTCTCTAATCCTATAAAATTTATTCCACACCTTTTCAAAAGTTAATTTCTTTCATAATAAATTCAAACACATCTTATAGGAATTTATTCATCATTTACATAATTTGTATACACTTATTTAAGTCCTCTAATTAATTATTTTGTGTAAAAAGACACTTATTTCTATAGAAAATATTCACTATGCATAGAAAAATTCATTAAGTTCATGAAACATTCTTACACATCCTAAATGATTTTCCTATGTCCATTGAATAATTTTCATACACCTTTAAAGCACTTAAAATAATTAATTTACTTAGAAAACAATATTTCTCTACCGAAAAGTTCAAATAAAATAATCAATGAATGTTAAAAAATTCATCTAATAACACCGACTAATCTAACACTTAATTCTACGCAAATAGAATATTTTTTCATGCACATTTAAAATGCTCAAAATAATTATTTTGCATAAAAAATTACTATCCATGCATTGAAAAATTAGTAAAATATTCACTCGAGCATAGAAAAATGATCCTAAGCACACCGAATGTTCTAGCAACCTAATAATAATTCTTCCATGTTCATGAATTAATTTTCTCACACCTTTAATATATTTTAATTCATTTAATAACGAGTTCAGATTATTACACATAAAATCCTTCAAACACTAGAGAAGGACTTTATTTTGCGGTTACATGCCATAGGACCCCAAACCAAGGACAAATCTCTATCTTTTAATCGATCAAGGAGAAACAACATCCAACCGTTCAAACAATCGAAGATCACGACCTCATCAAAATAGTTTCAATAAGTTCTCAAAATTGGTTTTTACACTATTAGCTTATGATTTGAGAATCGGATCGATTCTAAATGTCAACAAATGAGAGTGAATCATGTGATGATAAACTCGAAAAGTAAAGGGTCGTGGAATGTAGGAGTTGGGCTTGGATCGATTTGCAATTAGGTTGGTATCAAATACAAGATTTACGAGTGTCTAATCGAGATCGGGTCCGAGGAACTTTGAGTTTGAGACACCTAAAGGTTGGCCAAGATCAAGAACAATGCGATCAAGTGTTAGATTGAGATCGGGACTAGGCAAGGGACAAGACTCGTTAAGTTGTGGAAACCGATATGGATGAAACCCTAATTGTTCACACTATAAATAATGATAACATCACTTGTATTTATGAGTAGCCACTTGATAAAACCTTAATAAGAAATTCTAGTACGGTCGTGAAGTAGATACAATTGCCAAACTACATAAATATTTGTGTTTTGTGATTGTTCTTGTCTTTCTACTCTATTTTCTTGCTTGATTTGTTTCCTAACAAAGACAAGTCGTCCTCAAGTTCGAATAACATGAGCATTCGTCCTAGTTACTCGAGTGCATTTTGCTAAAAATAAAACTTGAAAAAACAATTGATCAGCCATACAAGTTTTCAATTTTTAGAAAAAGAACAAAATAAAACTAAAAATTTAAAATAAAAAATAGAAAATAGAAAATAGAAAATGATACCAAATATGGCAAACCAATTAAAGGAAGATGTATAATTAAAGTATGTTAAAAAATCACTAAAGAATATATTTTTTAAAAAAAAAAAAAAAAAAAAAGATAGCTGCAATCCTTATTTAATATTAAAATACATAATTGGTGACCGGAATCACCACCGAACAAGATGTTGATCCCGTTTATTTGCACAACAATGGAACCCTAATTTATTACTTACCTTGTTAATATAATATGTTGTATTGTATTCAAAAATAATTCGAAGCGTCCATTAACTCCTTAGGTTTTAATATGAATCCATGATTTTAAAAGCTGTAACATCATATCCTCAAATCGCTGCCTTCTATTGCCAGTGATGTAGCTGGAAGAGGGATTATTGAAATATGACTCATGTATCAGAATGAGATTCGATTCCAACAAAAGACATGGCTTATTTTTTTTTAAAAAAAAGAAAATATTGGACCTAAAAGGAGCATAAGAAAGGTTCAGGTGCAAATTTCTTGAGCCACAAAACCATTAATACGCAGGATTTGTTTCAGGTTTTCCTGAAGAGAAGGAAACATCGGAAACTTTTCACATTAACTATTTGTACATGTTAATTTTTTTTTAAAAAAAAAATAGCTGATTAGTCCTAATTGATCAAAATTACAGTAAAAGTGAAAAATTATAGTGCTTCGTGCTTCTTTAACTTGATTTCACCAAAAAAATTCTTACAGACGCGAAAACAGGAAATTTCCTGCTGCTGGTGCCTGGCAGACTTAAAAAGCATGAAATATGCTGATGCACCATTGAATTCATATATATCCCACAGTTCAGACCATCGTGTTATTGCTGCAATTCCGCCAGTGCGATCAAGTATAGACAATGAAAGCCTTGTATGGGGTCACATGTTATTGCTGCAGTTCCGCTAGTGCGATCGAGTATAGACAATGAAAGCCTTGTATGGGATCACGTCCTATTACCTTTCGACCCTTATTTAAATGTTAATCTGTATTGGAGGGAGATCTAAACCAATGCTGCAACTGTACTGAAGTGAAGGATTCTGGCATTCTGCATTCCATGGTAATTGCTTATTTCGCTGTTCCAGCCTCCTGCAAGGCCACAATCCATTTTTGTCCTCATGGAGGAATAGATGCTTGCTTATGGTTAAGAATTTTGAGATTGAAAACCAGGGAAGTCAATATTCACAAAAAAGGAGGGGAATTCTAGCTTTCAATGTGAACCTGGCCACATTTTGAAGATGATCCCACGTTCACTTACACTTTCCCCTATCAATCTCATTCTCCGCAATAACTCTCTGCCCCTTCCTGTTTGCAATGGACCCGAAGAGCATCTCCTCAATGATCCAGAGGCCTGCCTCCCATTCCCGACTGATGTACTGAGAAAATCTGAAACTGAGTGTCCCCTTTCAATATCTGGCTCAGAATCATAATGAGGTACTAAGGCGTGATGTTGGAAAGAATCCCACAGCTGTCCTGGGATAGCACTGACCTCCGCATCCATGTCAATAGATAAACCTTCACTCGAACTTCTTGAATCCAGTTCTTTTGCCTCATCACACTCATTAGATACTAGTTTTAAGGCCTGGACAACCTCACCCATAAAAGGACGGTGTGATACCTCTGGTTGGACACACATTGATGCAATAGCTGCTACTTTGGCCACACTATCAAAAGGTGCATCAGGTCCTAGAGACGGATCAATAATTATTTCCAGCCCTTCTTTACTTGTTAGAAGGGGACGGGCCCATGCAACTAGATTCTCTTGACCAGGTGGCTGGGACATATCCACCGGTCTTCTTCCTGTTAGGAGCTCAAGGAGGACTACACCATAACTGTATACATCACTCTTCACAAGAAGATGGCCAGTCATTGCATACTCTGGAGCGACATACCTGGATGAAATATTTATCAGGCAAATTGATGCATCAAATACAATAAAATACTAACACAACTCAAATGGAGGAACTTAAAGTAAGCTATAGATCAGCTTGGAGGTTGTCTAAATGTTAAAACAGTTTCTCATGTGTCCCTCTCTGACATTTTTTAATTTTTTTTTTCAAGGGCAAACTTCAAATATACCCTCAAACAATTGCAACAGTATCAATTTTGCACCCAAACTATTTTTTGTACCAATTTTGCCCTCATACCATTTTGATTTATCAATTAAGGACTTCTATTAAAATTACTTAACAGAAAACGTCAAGTTTCGTACAAAATGATGTTGCTTCTTACAAAAGAATGTACAATTTGGATGAAAAATTGGATAGAAAGTCTTTAAAATTGATGGAAGTCCATAGTTGAGAATTTCTAAAAGTTTGGAGGTAAAATTGATAAAAAAAATAGTTTGGATATAAAATTGATAAAACTCTAATAGTTTGGGAGTCCATTTTAGGTTTTCCCAAAAAAAGAAACTGAACTGATACAAGAAAAAGAATTTCCCTTAAAAGGGAGGAACTGAAAAGGCTACCTAGCTATGATCATGCATGTCAATCTTAACATTACCAACCAAGATGTCTGGGTTGAAGAATATCCAGAATTCAATAATTTTTTGACTTTCAATCTATTTTGCTTAAGTCATTCAGAATTCCAAATGGTTGTTTGTATGCATGGTAGTTCAGGATGACCATCTGAGTCATGAGAAAAGCTTGAGAGAAGATTGTGCACAACAGAGAGCAGCTTCTACAACCATCTTATTAGATGACGATGTGGTGGCAACTATTGTAATTTCTAGAACAAGGAGCAAGAGCTCACTCTTTTTGTACCTATTTTACCTCCTAAAATCATCATTGGTCATATAGAACTTCTGGCAGTGGAACATAAGCGTGGGACACTCAGCAACATCCAGAATGATGAGCAATTATGCAGGTGCATGGATATAGTATGCAGTGAGCATGCCACCTCCATCTATTGTCCCCAAGAGCTAGTTACCTCTTAATACATGGTTAAGGTAGGACAAGCAACCAACCATGGGCATTACCTTGTAAGGCCTTAGTGTTAGGTGTCTGGTGGAGTCATATAACTACAAGTGATATGATAGGATTTTATGAAGTCTGAAAGACGAATTCTTACCCAAAAGTTCCCATGACACGCGTTGATATGTGCCTATTTTCCTCATCCAAGGCAGTCCTAGCCAAACCAAAATCTGAGACTTTTGGTGTGAAATCATGTTCCAACAAAATGTTGCTGGACTTGAAGTCCCTGTGTATCACACGAGGGCTTGAATCCTCATGTAGATAAGCTAGACCTCGAGCTGCACCAAGTGCTATCTTGATCCGAGCATCCCAATCAAGAGGAGCAGATTCTTTATCAACCCCTGATAAATAAACATACAGACAAGCATATTCATGTTGTAGAACATTGACCCTATTTGAAGAGAGAACTTTCTCGATCCAAATATGAAACTAGGAAAGAGCAAGGCTACTACCATGTAGATGAGATTCCACACTGCCATTTGGTATCAGTTCATAGACCAAGCTGCGTGAACGTTCCTCTGTGCATATTCCAATCAACTTGACCAAATTTCTGTGATGAAGGCGGCTAAGCATCTCAACCTCTGCCAAGAATTCTCGACCCCCTTGCTGATCATCTCTCTTTAGAACTTTTACAGCAACTTTGGTCCCATCTTCTAGAACGCCACTGTAAACACGCCCAAAGCCACCCTCTCCAAGTATTCTTGAAGCATTAAAGCTATTGGTGGCTCTCTCTAGGTCACTTGTGCTGAAGGTCTTGGCAGATCCTGTATATGCTGGAATACTAGATCCAAAGGACAATGAGGCAGAACTAAGGCCACTTCCAACCAATGACCCCGCAATACCTGCAGATTATGTTTACCCTTTTCATCTCAAAACTAAGCAAGACTTTCGAATTGTTACATTTCCATATGTCACTAAATTAAACGTATTACAGTAGAACCAAAATGATTATCCACTAGAGCATTTAAATACACAAGGAAAACATGTCATTACAAAACTAAGACATGCTATGTCTCATATTTACATATCATATTTGTATAAGCTTAGTGTTTTTCAACGTTCCATAACTTGTTTTTCTTTCTATTTCACCTTGCCAAGTTCCATCACCGTGCTAGCTAATCAGTCAAATTCTGTATGTTGCATAAGTTTAGTGTTTCACTCCTTAAAACCATTGATCATCAAACAGTTAGGCTAATCTGCACCAGAATTTAAATATAAGTATTACCAGATGGTTTCGCAACTGAAGGTGGCAAAGGCTGCAGGACAGGTTCTGGTTGACTTGCACAGCCTCTATGTCTAAACAGCAATGCCCAAGCAACAGAAGAGAAAAGAACTAAGGCTACAAATCCTGACAGAACAATAATAGCAATCATGCCCCCAGCAAGCCCAGCTTTATGCTTCCTATGTACATCAACCCCTAGGGGCTTTATTGTCCTTGTATTGTTGTTGTTCCCAGAATATGGTCCATCATCAATGATAGCAATTCCAGAGGGTGCCAATGGTGGAGATGGAGGTAAACCTATAAATATAGCAATTCTAAATAAATACCCAGGAAAAAAGAATAAAAATTTTTAGAAAAAGAACAAATTATACACATTAAGAAGAAATTGGATACCTAGATAACGCACGTATAATACTTCACAGTCACCAAAATAGGAAGGGTTTATAACCACTTGTTTATGCCAAAATCTTTGATAAGTCAAAAAGGCAGTTGTATTATCAAATCTTTCTCCAAGGGGAACCAAGTCAACAAGAACAATTGTCTTCTCTGGCTGCTGGCTGGCAGCATTGGCTGCAATAATCCGAACTTGACTTTGTTTCATAAAAATGCCAGCAGCAATTTCCTGAGCAAGCTCTGAAACTAAAGGGAAAAAGGTATACAGTGCAACACTAACACTCAGTCCTACTTGCATGGGCAAGACACAGCCACATGGTGACCCAGGAGGAGTATTTGCTAATGGCTCTGTGCACACTGTTGCTGAACAATCTGCAGATTCAATGAGCCTATGCATTACATTTAGGAAGATAAAGAACATTATAGGGACAACAGAAACAAACTTCGAAGTAAGAGAAGCACATATCTGTCTACCTTCATTAGGTGGTGGAGGTGGCAATGCGCGCAGTGGTGGCAGGGGGGGCATCTTGGGAGTCCTCGAAGAAAACCCAGGGGTAGCTTTAGGGGAAAGAACTGGCACTTGGGAATGTAACAATAATCAATAGGTAAGCTATTAAGCATGCAATGGATGAAATAAATAAACATAATGCATAATGAATTAAAAAAAGGAACCAAAAAGGAAGATAAGATCTTACTTTTTGTCCAGCCAGATACTGCACTTGGAGAGGGAGAAGGAGGAGGTGAGAAATTGGTCACTGGTTTTGGAAAAGGGTAATGTGATGTATTAATTGAAGAATCTTACCATATATGAACTGCATTAGAAACTGAAACGACCTTCAAGCTAAATGCTCTAAATATGAACTACTAACACAGTCACGCTATTATGATACCTGGAGTACTAAGGGGTGGAGGAGCATATTGTTTGTGCCTTCTTGTTGGAAGAAATGACGGGGGGATGACTGGACCTGTAAAGAGCATCAAAATAAAATCAAACTGAATATCTGAACGTTAAGAGCATCACAAACCACGTCTGATTGGAGAACTTCTCCAGCATAAAAGAAGGACCTTGCTGTATTGAAGAGGGAGGAAGTGTTGGATAAGGGGATGCAGGAGCAGAGTCACTGATTTTGCTCCTTTCATGGTTCTTCTTATGAAATGGAATAGAAGGTGAAGGCACTGAAGAGTGATACTGCTTATCTAAAGGAGGTTTAGGGGATGACGAAGGTGAAACAGGAGACTCATTAGAGTGCCTCGTGGCTTTGTTTGAAGGAGCTACAGCAGAAAAAGAGCCAGAAAATTTTACAGTTAAATTCCAAGTCTTCATACTAATGCTTCAAAAAATTGATTCTGACAAAATTTTCTTTTAATAATGTACACCTTTAGCTGGAGAATGGCTCAAGGGAGGTAAAGGTTTGGGTGTTTCATTTGGCGGTGCAGAAACTGGAATTCCTTCTTTTTTATAGTCAATGCTTGGGGTAGGAGCAGAGGAATGGGAGACATTTGGACCTACAATGTCATAAGAGAGTCAATAAAATGTAACATTGCTCAAGTGTAAAGAGTTTGCATGTATGAAAATAGTGCCAGTAAAACAATATGGAGTACCACCTAATCTTGTAATCCATGCCATGGTCATCAAATCATACAGCACGACACCCGCACAAATAATCAGCCATTCAAATGGCAAAATTATTAAAATAAAAGAAAAAAATGATGAGAACTTCTCAAGCATAAAAGAAGGACCTTGCTGTATTGAAGAGGGAGGAAGTGTTGGATAAGGGGATGCAGGAGCAGAGTCACTGATTTTGCTCCTTTCATGGCTCTTCTTATGAAATGGAATAGAAGGTGAAGGCACAGAAGAGTGATACTGCTTATCTAGAGGATGTTTAGGGGATGACGAAGGTGAAACAGGAGACTCATTAGAGTGCCTCGTGGCTTTGTTCGAAGGAGCTACAGCAGAAAAGGAGCCAGAAAATTTTACAGTTAAATTCCAAGTCTTCATACTAATGCTTCATATAATTGATTCTGACAAAATTTTCTTTTAATAATGTACACCTTTAGCTGGAGAATGGCTCAAGGGAGGTAAAGGTTTGGATGTTTCATTTGGCGGTGCAGAAACTGGAATTCCTTCTTTTTTATAGTCAATGCTTGGGGTAGGAGCAGAGGAATGGGAGACATTTGGACCTACAATGTCATAAGAGAGTCAATAACATGTAACATTGCCCAAGTGTAAAGAGTTTGCATGTATGAAAATAGTGCCAGTAAAACAATATGGAGTACCACCTAATCTTGTAATCCATGCCATGGTCATCAAATCATACAGCGACACCCGCACAAATAATCAGCCATTCAAATGGAAAAATTATTAAAATAAAAGAAAAGAATGATTAGATTAATTTTTCATCATCTCAAAATGGTCTTATTTATGCAAAGTTTACAAGAACAAAGAAGATAATATAATGGATTTTTCCAAGTACGCATCAAACGTTTTTCAAGCTGTGGTCACTAAAATCATACACTAAAACACAAATTAAAATAATTAGTCATTCAATTGGGAAGAATGATTACTAAAAGCAAAAAGAATAAGAAAGTGAGTTTTTCATGGTACTCAAACTGACTTTATTGGATGTGAGTTGAAAATAACAAAGAAGATATATATAGTAGCTTTTTTTCAAATACACATTAATTGTTTTTCAAGACCAAGGAATAAAGCTGCATTCCAACAATTTTGGAGTTCATAATGGCAATTTTCAGATTAATATTCAAAGCAGCATTGTCATTTTAGTTGCATTGCCATGTTTTATAACAGGCCTTGGTGACACTTCACTATAAATTAAGCAAAAGCATGCTGCAGAAAGGAAATTTTTGCCCATTCCTTCAGCCATGGACTCTCAGTTGACAGATTCATTGTATTACAAAGTTTAGCAGACATTGAAACTGAAGATGTGGAATGGTTCAATGCTCAAGCAGAACTTCAGAATGAATATAAATTTGAAGTTTTCGCTCAAGTAGAACCTGATAATGTAGAAGGGGATTCTCCAGGCATAACTGGGTGGGTTGCTGATGAATTTTGTGGCATTGCTCCTATTGGTGGTACAACTGGAACTGCTGTTATCAAAATAAAAGAACCAACATAATCCGTTAATTTGAACTTTTGGAAGGAAAAAATAGAAGAAAGAAAAGGATTATTCACACATATAGAATACATCAATGCATACCAGATGGCATTGCTGCTGGTGCAATAGGGGGAACTGCTGGTTGATTTTCTTTTGATTTCCTTGATGGAGATACAGCTGATATCATATTTTGGAAAATAAAAATGAAGGAAAGCAAGAAATAGATTTAGGAACCTGTTGAAATAGAATGTACCAGAAGCGTCATAGAACAATAGAATACTAATTCTATACCTGGAGCAATTGATTTTGGGATGGGAGCCCTGCTGAAGGATATATCTTTTTTGGGAGAACTTGGTGATGAAGCATCAGGTGCACTTGATTGGCTGACTGTTGAATTTTCTGGTGACTGTCCTGAAGGTGCTGCAGCTAGAACCAGACATTGTAACAAAGGAGGTTGTTATAGAATCAAAGTCAACTTGAAATTACTAAACAAAACAAGCATTAGTAAGCTATGTACCTGGTGCACTTGACACAGAGACAGGAGTCTGCCTAACTGGTGCCTGTCTTTGATGAGCATTTGGTGGCTTGGGTGGTTCATGCCCTTGATTAAGTGTGGGTGGAGGAGCTGTATTATACATCGGAGATATAACTGAAATACTTGGTGACAAGGATGGTACATGTCCTTGAAAAATCAAGGGAGGAGGAGCTCTATTCTGCGGTGTTGTTACTATTGGAGGACTAGGGGAATATGATGGTACAAGCCCTGTGATTGTTTGGGGCACTGGGGCAGATGTGAGTGGCGGTAATGCACTAAGTGGAGGGTGTAATTTTGACCCTGCATTTTCAAACAGAAGTATCATAAAACGATCTCGAGATTAATAAACAGTTTACAGTGACAGTTTATGCAAGTTACCATTTGGCTGAGACTCTGAGCTTGGTGCACTGCTTCTGAATGGCTGGGGTTGAGGAACAGGCGTTCCTTCTATTGGAGGAATATCAGAAAAAATTGCTGGAGCTGGAGATATATTGTAACCTTAAAAAAGATTTAGTACCAGATTTAATACAGCATGTATGCAACTTGGCATCCATTATAAGTGTCAAACTAAAATATTCAATTGAAAAAATATCAACTAGAATAGACATAAGGCTGAGTTTTTAACAACAGAGCGGTTATGATTTGCTTCTGCTAGTAGCCATGAAGCAGAACTTTCTTGTTCTTGTGGGGTTAAGTATCCATGCTTTCTAGTCAATGCATAGGAAGAATTTAAACGACAACCCACTAGATCTGCTGCTCTCTATTGATTTTAAAACTCCAAAACTTGGAAATATCTTTGTCCTTGAAGAAAAGCATTATACAAGATGAGAATTTTCAGCAAATCAGACAGCAGACAAGGGAAACAAAGCAAGCTGAGATATCAATGCAGTGGCAGAAATGCACCTGAATTGCCTGAAGTTCCAAGAACCATAAAATTATATAAGCAGCTAAAGATACTTGTTGCAATGCATTTCCATAGTTGTCCTTGAAGAACAGAGTAGTATAACTATTCAGCTGTCTCAATTACTTGAGATTTTTATCTACAAGCTCTGATCTATGGTTACAAAATTGAGGGGGAAACACTGTTTTTTAGTTTTTGGTTCCCCTATTAGTAAATAATCTCAGATCAACAAAGACACCACAGTCCAATATGGTTCATATCAACTCTTATATCTATAGTCAGCTTCTTCACATTAGCATTGACAACATGAAGTTTGATAAACCCAGATGGCAAAATGATTTATTGACAAAAATAATAACTTTAACCAACATAAATTTCTCCTAATCTAATCCAATTCTAACAAAGAAGAGTTAACATCATAAATTTACCGGTAGATCCTTGAACTGTGAAAACAAAGCCAATGGAACAGAGTTTCAGCAGCAGCTGGAGAATGGATAGCACCATCACCATCTCCATCCCATCAAGCCCCGAACTTTCAAAAACTAAAGAAGACCCTCCTCCTCAATAGTAATGGGAAAAAAAAAATCACACAAAGCAATAAAAATATCAGCAAAGATTGGTTATCGGTTATAATAATAAGATAAGAGAGTGAAAGATAAGTTGAAGCAGTAGCAAAAAAGGATGTGGGTAAAAAAAGCAATGGGTGGTTGTTACTTATTATTGAGAGAAAAAACAAACAAAGAAGCCAATTTTATTTAAAGTTTGGCATAACAATACCAATGAAACTGCTTTCACTGGCATGAGTTTAGCATTCATTCATAAACACAACTAAAACTGACCCCCAAAACAAAACCCAACATAACAGGCTAACGGTGGGGTGTAACAGAAGGCAGAAAAAGGTATGGGTAGTTATGTGGGGCAGAGAGAGAGAGAGAGAGAGAGAGAGAGAGAGAGAGTCTTTGGGTTTCGATAGTGTATAAATTAAATTAATGGGAAAGGTTAAATTTGAGTGGTGTATTCATGGGGTTGTTTAATGGGGTTGCTCGACTCCATTTCCATGGTTGCTGATTTTTCTGTTCATACTGTTAGATGGTGACAGTGTGAGAATGAGGTGTTGCATGTGTCGGTCAGCAATTTTGACACGTCACTTTACTTGTCTGCTTTTAATCTCAATAAATTAAGAATAATCCTCTTTTCTTTCTTTCTTTTTTCTTTTTTCTTTTCTTTTCTTTCTTCACAAAAGATCGATGGATCGATCTATCAATTAACAAATGTAAATTAAAGATTTTATGGTATATGTTAAAGTATGTTCTGAGTTAATAGTTTTCCTTACTCATCAACAAGAACTTTTAATGGCAAATCTTGGATGTTCATATACTTTTAAGTTCTAAAAATCTCTTCAAACATTTTATCATGTGGCACCTGTTTTTTTTTTTTTAAATTTTTATTCCTTAAAAAGAGTATTTTAACAATAAAATTGTTTTTTTTTTTTTGTAGGTATATACAAGCCAATGTTCTCTTATGAAATCTATTTTTCTAATATGTAGAGTATGATGAGAAATTTTACGCTGAGACATAAAAAAAAAAAAAAAAAGAATCACATGTAAATCCTGTAAAAATGATTAAAAAAATTATCTAGACATAATTATTTTTTAATTATCTTTTTCATTTTTTTCATATATTTCTTTCCTAAAAATTATTTTTTGAATGCCATAAAATTTATCAGAATGTAAAAATCATAAATTCGATATTTAAGATTTACAACATGTTTCTAAATATATTGAGATACCGTTGTTTATTGGTAATTTTGTCAATATGATGTTCTATAGTAATTTCCTTGATAAGGAAATAATTAGGAGAGCGGATGCTGTGATCCTCTCTCGCTGTGGGGTGGAGGACAAGTCCAAAATTACTTTTGATAGTGTAGTGTGATGCATCCGTAGTCAATGCGTTTGTCTTCTAAACAGTCACCATTTGTCTTCTTAAATGCATTTATTCCTCATGTAATCAATAAAATATTGAATCTTAACCTGAAGAGATAATCAAAACAAGGACGATTTTATTTTTTTCTAAATATAACAAATGTAACATTTCAAAAGGAAGTTATAAAATTGAGGAAGCCATCAATGTATATCCTCACTTTGTTCATAAAATTAATTAAAAATTTTATTATATATATATTTAAGCTACATGACAAATAAATTAGATTGATGTAAGTCTCACCCAACACAAGGTTTTGGCACGTGTAAAGATAGATATGGATATCCTAATAGCACAAGTGTCCATGATTATCTTTGAATGTATTTGGAAGATTGATAGAAGATTGTCTAGAGAAAAAAGCTTTATTTATTTATTTATTTATTTTTTAGCATTTACTAGTAAGCTAAAGCAATTTAATCAAAAAAGAAACTTAACTTTCTTCAATTCAAATATGATAATCCAATCATTAATAACGTAGCACTATTCTAAGAGTTAATGACTATTTTTAATTTCCTATAAATATCAATCTCACATCATTCCGAGGGAATTTGAACTTTTTGATCTCTAAAAAAAAAAAACTCTAAACTCTAAACTCTCTCTCTCTCTCTCTCTCTCTAAAGCTCTCACACTCACATACTAAACATCACCTAAAACTTTAATTGTTAGATTTTAACCACCAAACTATTAGCCACTCGACATGTGCTTGCTAGCATTGTCTACTCATCCTCACAACCCTCTCACTACTTCCATTCATTCTACTTGATTAGTAAATGATTGCTTCTACAAGTCATAACACTAGTTTTTTCTATCTTGATAAATCTATTGATTAGTTATTTAATTAGTTCTTAAGAATCCTCCACACATTTTGGTGACTTTGTTAGGAAGCTAGTGAATTTGAAAAAATAATGGCTTCTTCCAAGACAACCAAGAAAAATAGTAATTCTATTACCAACTAAATTACCCCAACAATCATGATACCTAACTTGATCCTAATCACAATGCCGACAATGTCGAGTTACCGAACATTAAGAATGGAAACAATCCTCCAAACTTTTAATTTGGCAATGATAGCTTGTTAGTATTGTTATAAGACGAGTCTATCTCGACTCGTTGCTCAAGTCCCTACCACAGCTATTCCACATTTAGGCTTTCAAGACATGATCGAAGTCTTTAAAGTTTTTTAGGATACTCGGTTCGGACTATAGCAAGAATAACAATATGTCTCTAAAGTCCTCTAAGACAATAATATTATATTTGTATAAGCCTTGACGAGCATCGTATGACTACTTATGGATGGAATCTCCCAGTACTAGTATCTCTTAAACTACGATGCCATCAAGGCATCAACTGTTAATATAAAGGATGATCCAAAGCCATATGTTCAACAAAATAATAGGAAAAAATATTCCCTTACCAAACACCCATCGTATGACTCGTGCATAACCACTAATTGATTTATCATGTTACTGTTTTCAAGTAATCAACACCACTATCTTACTAATTAAGACTTATAAAAGTTTTTAAATAAAAGTTAGCAAAATGTACTAATGAGTTTGATCTCAAAGTTAGCAAAATTTAATATTGAGTTTGATCTCTAACTTTCTCATCTAACTCTCATCATCACGAGACCTTATCCAAGGGCTATATGAATTCTAAGTTTAAAGTTTTTAATTAAAAAAAAATAAGATGATGCCAAGGAGCATCTTATGAAGTTCATGGAGACCTTGGGTGTTTATGGCCTATATGATGAGTTGAAGCTGAAGAAATGTTAAAAGTCCTTTACTAAGAAAGCATACAACTAGTATGTAAATCGGCCTCTAGCTACATCTTGATGTGAGCAACTATGTACAAGCTATTTACTAAGAAATTTTCTTCCACTAATGAGAGGGTGACTAAGTCCGAATTGGAGAAAAAAATATCAAAGTTCTAAAGAGGGTTTGTTAGGATATATTGAATGGTTTAAAGACCGTATCCTAGACATTTAAAAGGGCGTGATGAGAAGAAACTTGTTAAACTATATATCTAGAGAATATATAAAGAGTATAAGATACATCTTAAGAATTTTAGTTTGACCAATTTTTTTCCTTTAGTGGAAAGTGTTCACCGGACCAATAATTATGCTATTTTATTTTAAAAGAAATGACTTCACTCCTACTATTATTGGTACAAAAAAGGATCATTCGGTTAGATAAGTAATCTGATAGAGGAACAAGATGGGTAGTTATCGAACCACCACTCTAAGAAGTGAATCAACCACCATTTTTTCTTGCATTATAGACATGGTCTATGCCTTTTTAGATTGTTAGATGGCCGACTAAGTTATTACCCTCCCGATCTAAAAAACAAAAAAAAAAAAAAAACAATCCCAAGTATTATTGGTATCATAGATATATAAAGAATTTGACAAAAAAATTATCATACCTTGAGATTTTTATTTCTTGAAAAACTAAATAGGAAGGAGATTGTCTTTGATAATAAAGATGGTATGCAAGAAAACCTCTTATCACAATACCAAAATTACATAACAACCAAGTGAATGTTATTTTCTATGACCTAATCGAGTTGAGGAAAGAGGATTTTGATATATAAATCTACCAAGTTACTCTTAACCTCATCCTACATATGTGAAAGAGGTAGATGAAAATGATGCCATCATTACATAGTCTTTATTAAAGACTTTAAATTTTTATAAATTTATCAATCTTTTGGACTTTGACGCGAAGCCAAATAAACAATTATGACGACCATTGTCCACATATGTAAGGAACAATATGGTGAGTATTTTGTTGCTAACTATCTAATGGGAAAAAGATAAACAAAAAAATTATAAAAACAATGTGTTCTTGATCGATTCTAATTATTATACAAAAAAGACCAATTATAATCATATAATCTATATAGATAGTAAGGTAAATAATTTCTTTATTTGCAAGACCCTCATTTTTAGTAGTTTCTCCTTGAATCTTATGTCACTTACCACCTTGAGAGGTTTATACATTGATGAAAGATGTATAAAGTGGACACCAACTGATCTTAAAGCCTTTAACAATACTTCCTTCGAAATTGATGTTATGTTATAGTAGATTTTCAAATAGAAACTATACAATGCTCAATCCAAGTTTTATATCATCGATACTCCTACATCCTATCACTTATTGATTAGAAAGCATTTTCTTCATGAATTTGATTTAATTCTCTCCATCAAGTATTAGTGTGTAAAAAAATATTAAAGATTGATGGACATCCTCATTCCCGATGTCAATGTGCCTTTGAGTGTGATAAATTTCATTTTATGAATGCATCATTCTATGATAAACTTATAGCTAATATCGAGTGTAGAGTTAGCAAACTAACGAATAATTCTACTAAAGTAGTGGTAATTAAAACCAACCATTAGAAGAAAAGCACCTATAAAGGTGGCAAGAGAAGGATACATAATGACTATGACAACGATTACATTAGATGGTTGAATATATAACCGATATCACTATACTCATTCATACATATATATATATGCACAAATCCATGTGTGATGA